TGTGGGGGATCCCATAACCCTCCCCTCCTACAAGACCCCGTGTTCCCCTCTCCTCCTCCAAGACCCCACGTTGCCCTCCCCACCAAAAAAAACCCATTCCCCCCAAAAATTCACCCCAGCACCCTGTGTGCCCCTCCAGGAGGGAACCCCAGGATCCCCTCGTGACCTTCCAGGATCAGGCATACTCCATCAGGACCTCATCTGACCCCACAAAATCCCATCTGTGACCCCCCCAGGACCCGCACGCGTCCTCCCAAGACCTCGTGTGCCCCACCAGGAACCCCCACAACCCTTCAGGACCCCCATGAGCCCCCCCAGGACCCCCGAACCTTATTCATCTGCGCCCTCCTCTTGGAGGACACAGCCGTCTTCTCGTAGAAGTCAATGAGCAGCAGCACCGGGGTGATCCACCTGGGGGTTGGGAGGTGTCAAAAGAGATTGGGGGGGGGGGGATCTGAGGGATTTATAGGGATAGGGAGGAGTCTGGAAGGGTCCTTACTTGGGGGTCTGCACCTCCTTGTGTTCCTTGGCAGCCTGCAGGCAGGGCTGCACCACTTCCAGCAGCTTGATGAGGACATCAAGGACGCAGCTCGATTCCACCACGCGGGCACATGGCAGCTTCAGCTCCTGCGTGGAGAGGGGGGGGAGGACACACGTTAGGGACACCCAAAACCCCTCAATCATTCCTTCAAATGCTCCAAAATGCCACGGTTTGGATTTGGACCAAGGTTATCAGGCTTTGTGAGGACACCAACAACACTCAGCATCATCACGTCAACCTACTGATGTCATCACGGTGTCTGAACGCTCAAGGTCATCGTGTCAGCACTTGACGTGTCAACACTTGATGTGTAAATGCTCAGTATCAATGCAAACGTGTCAATACGTCAGTGTGTCAACACGACAACGCTCAACGTGTCAGTGTATCAACAGCAAACGTGTCAACATGTCACTGCTCAACACAACAACGTCCTCATTCAATGCTCAACATGTCAACGTGTTGGTAGCAAACGTGTCAATATGCCAACATGTCAATGCTCAACACGTCAACGTCCTCACGTCAATGCTCAGCATCTATGTGTCAACACGTCAATGTCATCATGTCAATGCTCAACATGTCAACGTGTCAATATGCCAACATGTCAATGCTCAACATGTCAGTGCTGTCATGTCAATGCTCAGCATGTGTCAACACGTCAATGTCATCATGTCAATGCTC